ATGTACTAATCCAGAATAGCACTATATTAATTTATAATAAAAATATAAAGTAGCTTGGGTCTCATGTTCTCTTGCTGCTGTCGATCTACATAGGAAGCTAAGGTATAATCTGAAACTGGCTTTCCCAGCCTGAAATCAGAGCAAGAGGAAGTCAAGTGGATTATTATGATGGCTAAAGGTATGATTAGCATCATAGTCATGACATATATACTGAATACTTCATTTTGCTTTTTAAATTTAAAAAGTAAAGCATGTATCTGTTTCACTTTTATTTTAAGTCACAAATAAGCTAAAAGTAAAAAGCTTCTGCCTTTTATAACCAAGTACTCTGGATTAATTGGAAGCTTGGTAGTTATTACCCATCAGAGTTCACTTGGTCACAGGAGTTTAGCAGCTAAAAGGGATACTACTTGGCTTAGAAAAGGAGAAAAAGAGAGGCAGCAGACAGCTGGCACATGGGAATTACTTCAAAAAGGCAGAGATAGGTGAGCTGATGAATCTAAAATCATGTAGGAGACACAGGCACAGGAGTCACCTGCTACCTATTCCCAAGATCATTAAATCATACAGTATTACAGAGGTAAAAGTGCCCACTAGGGATCATGTAGTTCAGTCTCTCACATGTAAGAATGACTTGTTCAATGACGTAAACAAGTTTGCGGTCTGGTTGGGACTAGAACCCAGTTTAGTGCTCTGATATTACACCATATTTCTTCTTTCCTATTTTTTATCAGGATTTGGAAGCCAAAATACAGGGTCTCAGATGAAGCTTTGAAGAAGGGCCAAAGGAGAATGGGGAGAGTATCAGCGAGACAAGTGTGAAAACAATATGCCTCAGTGATATTGGTCCTGATAGGTGGCTCTACTAAAAGATCTCCATGGTCTCACTCTCTAGACTCAGATATTAACAGAGCCAAGTCATTTAATTATCTGAGCTTCAGTTTTCTCATAAATAAAATGTATCTGAAAATAATTATACCTTGTTCAGAGTTACCAGAAGATAAAATGAAAATCTGTGTGTAAAGGAACATTAAATAAATATTGGTTTTTCCTATTTGCCATGAGTAAGAAACATTATCTTAGTCTGAATTTTTAACATTTGCATACTAATGACCAGAAGGTAGGAAAGGAGGAGGAAACAGTATGATTAGAAAGAGAACAGGCTTACACACAGAGAACAACTTGTTTTGTGAAATGAATTGAGTAACCACATTTTTTCCACATTGCATCACTTGCTCCTTAGCCAGGACACTGAGACTGCCGGCCAACCTCTGCTGTTATAGAAAGCACTTTTGTAGGACTTACTGAGGGTGTAAAGTGTGGGAGGCAACAGTTGTTAGAGGGAACCACCTAACTGCTGGAATGATGACTGAAGCACCTAATCTGGAAATGTCACCTGGAAGGCCTCTCTGTACCTTCTGAGCCTGGTCCTCTGACCATCTTCTGTTGAAAATCTAAGGACTCCAGAGACACACAGAAGAGAGGAAAACAGCAAACTTCTCTGGAAGCATCAGCCACAGAGTGAGTCATATTTCTTATCAGCAAGGTTTGCTGCCAGAAAGGAATGCATATCCAGCAACCTGGACACAAAGACCGTCAGCTCTGTTGGCTCTGGAGAACTACCTAACTGCTCTAGATTTATTAGTCAAAAGAACAGTGAATTCCCTGGGCATGAAAATGAGAAAATCAACCTATTAACTGAATAAAGCTCAGAGCACCAAGGCTTATCCTGTTTTAGCCTCAAGTAACAAAAATGACTCTGCTATCAGTTCCAACGAACCTCTCTTCTTGCTGCTTCCATAGAACTATTACCTCACAGTGCTTCCTCACAATGGATTTACCATACTGACCCCAGGGTACTTGTTTCTTGCATCATAGAGAGGAGTGGCACTTTCCTGAGCCAAGAAAAGTGTGTTTCCCTTTCATTCTGCCCCAGGATCTCTCCACCTCAGTGCGACTATCCTAATCCAAGCAACCTCATTTCTTCCTTGTCCACAATTACCACTGTACAACTCATTCTCCACAGACCAGCTCAAGTGATTTTTTTTAGATAATAGCTTTATTAAGTTACATACCACAAATTCACCCTACATTTTAGTGTTTTCTAAGATATTCACAGAGTTGTGCAAACATCACCCCTATCTAATTTTAAAACATTTTCATTATCCTCAAAATAAATCCCAATAGCAGTCATTTCCCTTTTTCCCTCCCCTAGCCACTGGCAACCACGAATCTACTTCTGTCTATATGTTTTTGCCAGTTCTGGACATTTCATATAAATGTAATCATCAGTGATTATATTTTGTGACTGGCTTTTTCATTTAGCATAATGTTATCAAGATACATCTATATTGTAGAATGTATTAGTACTTTATTCCTTTTTTATTGCCAATTAGTATTTTGTCCTATAGTTATGCCACATTTTATTTATCCATTTATCAGATGATGAACATTTCGGTTGTTTTATCTTTTTGGCTACTACAAATAATGCTGCCATGAATGTTCATTATGTGTTTTATGTGTGGACATATGTTTTCTATTCTCTTGGGTATATATCTATGAATGGAATTACTCGGTCACATGGTAACTCTTTAACGTTTTGAGTAACATCCAAACTGTTTTCTAAAGTGGTTGTAGCATTTTCCAATCTCACCAGTAATGTTAGAGGGTTCCAGTTTTTCCACATCCTCAGCAACATTTGTTATTATCCGTCTTTTGCTTATAGCTGTATCCATGGGTGTGAAGTGGTATTTCACTGTGGCTTTGATTTGCCTTTCCCTAATGACAAATGATATTGAGCATCTTAAGTGCTTATTGGCTATTTGTGTATGTTATCTGTTGAAATATCTATCCAAATCCTTTGCTTGGGTTGTCTTTTTTATTGAGTTATAAGTGTTCTTTTATATTCTGGATACAAGTTCAAGTGATTTTTTTAAAGCAAATCAAATCTTGTCACTTCCCTGGCTTAGTACCTTCTAATGGTTCCCTAACATGTTTAGAATAAAATCCAATATTCCCACTCTGGTTTACAAGGTCCTACATGATTTGGCGCCTGCCCACTTCTCCAACATCATCTTGTACTGCTTGCTTTTGTTTGAGATAGAGTCTTTCTCTGTCGCCTGGGCTGCAGTGTATTGGTGCGATCTTGGCTCACTGCAACCTCTGCCTCTCGGGTTCAAGTGATTTTCCTGCCTCAGCCTCCTGAGCAGCTGAGATTACAGGCACGTACCACCACACCCTGCTAATTTTTGTATTTTTAGTAGAGATGGGGCTTCACCATGTTGGCCAGGGTGGTCTCAAACTCCTGACTTAGGTGATCCACCTGCCTCAGCCTCCCAAAGTGCTGGGATTACAGATGTGAGCCACTGCACCCAGCCCCTTGTACCACTTTCTTGCTCAGGCAATGCATTCTAGCCAGAGCAGTCTGCTTTCTGCCCTTGGGACAGAGCAAACTCACTCATGTCTCAGCATCATTATATGAGTTGTTCCTTCTGCCTGCTTGGAAGTCTCTTTCCTTGGATGACTCCTTCTCATCATTCAGGTCTCAATTCAAGTATCAACTTTTCAGACAAATTTCTTGAAAAGAAATTCTACTTAAACAAGTTTCCCCTCTACAAACAACTTTTGTGAATGATAAATATGTTCATTACCTTCATTGTGGTAATGGTTTCATGGATGTATACACATGTCAAAACTTTTCAAATTGTATACTTTAAATACATGCCATTTATCTTATGTCAATTATATTTCAATAGAGCTGTTAAACAAAAAAAAAAACCCTTTACAATTATACCTTATCACTATCCCATCATACTTTATTTCCTTAGAAGAAATTATTTTATTTCTGTCTATAAAAATTATCTATATGAAATTATCTTATTTCTTGATTTAAATGTTTACCACCTGTTTCAGCCAACTAGAATGGAAACGTCATGAGCACAGCAATGTTGTTTATTTTTGTCACTTGTGTATTCTCAGCTTGGCTTACAATTAGGTGCTCAATAAATATTTGGCTAATTGAATGAATGAATTCAACAGAGGTTTAGAAAAGAGATCCTCAGACAATAAGAAGGGAGATTTTTCATTCCCTCAGATTCACCAGTACTTTTTAGACTTAAGAGGATGAGATTATTATTATTATCTTTACTAAAAGCAGCTACCTCGAAATCTATTCTGGATCTTCTCCACTGTCATCATCTGTATCATTTTACTGTTCATTTAGTCTCTGGCACTATTCTAGTACTTTATATATACTCTCTCATTGGTAGTGGTTAGTTTTATAATAATAGTATTATAATAATGATAATATAGCATATTGTAATAATCATATATGTTATAGTTATAATATAGAATATAACTATAATGGCAACAGTAATACAATAAAAATTTGTTTAGCACTTGCTAGTCATCAGATGTAAGCATTTTACCCATGTAATCTCATTTATTCCTCACAATAACTTCATGAAGTAGGTTTTCTACTTCATGATGTGGAATTTGTAGTTTAAGGAACTACACAACTGATAAAAGGCAGAGATGGACCTCAAGCCCATGTCTATCTTACTTCAAAGCTTGTTCTTTTTATCATCCTGCTACAGTGCTTCTCAACTATTTTCACAATACAGTGTTACTCCAGCTCTTATCCAAAGCCCCTAGGGTCAGAGGAAGGTGTGTGCCTTGGGAATACTAGTACTCAAACTTTGAAATGGGTTAGGGACAAAAGTAAGAGAGATGAAAAGCTAGTTGCCTGAGAATAAACCAGGATATGTAGAGCAAGGAATTATTACTTTATCCCAAATGCCACATGTGGCTTCATTTGACACTTAATACTTACTGTTTCTAATTGCTCCCTGGTAGACCTGGGTTGTTACCTAAGCTGCTGGCCCTTTCTCCTCCCCTGCATACTAGTGAAGTACACTGGTGAAGACATGATCATGACAGACCTGGGTAATCTCCCTTATCATCTGGGTCATGATTTCAAGAGCATGTAGATGGGCCTTTACCTTTGGTGCCAGGAGGCTGTAGGTTGTCTCCGGTCAAGGAACACCAGCCCACAGGGAAGATGTCCCGGGAGTCGAAGCGGCACCAGTAGTCAAAGGCCCCTCGCCACCCATCAAAAGTGACAAGCACCTCTGAGCCCCGAACCTCCCCAATAGTGGCTGGGCAAATGAAATGAGGGTTCTTCCTGTCCACAGCTTCTAGCTTCATTCCCATTTTGAAGAAGTTGTGGGAAGGTGATGGTGGCTCCTAGATAAGAAACAGAAATATACACACCTAGACACAAAAAGAGGCCATTATGCCAATAGACTACTATCTCATTTGGATGATTAAAAAGTGACTGCTATATAAGATTTATAATGGATATATAGCCTTTCTTTTAAATTACAGTATTACTTTATTTAAAGTATTTAAAATATTTAAATACTTAAAATATTTAAAATATTTAAATATTTAAAGTATTACTTTATTAATCCTAACATTTTGACAACTTTGCTTCAGCTTTTTAAAAAAGGAAATAAAAGGTTGCAGATAAAGTTGAATCTCCCTTTGTGCCCTTCCCATATTCCATTCCCCCTCCACCTACCATGGAGGTAACAGCTACTCATGCATGTTTTATATTTTACTATATACGTACATACCTATTTGCCTGCTTTTAAATTTTATATAAATTGTAGTATACTGCATATATCATTGTACAATTTGCTTTTTTGTTCCACAGTATGCTTTTGAAATTTGCCCATGTTGATAAATTTTAACTCATAATAGTATTTTGAGTCCATTTTAACTCGTAATAGTATTTCATTGTATGTATATATCAAAATTTATTCATTCTCCTTTGGACACTTAAAGTTCTTTCCAACTGTTTACTAATTTTTTTTTTCTGAGATGGAGTCTCGCTCTGTCACCCAGGCTGGAGTGCAGTGGTGCGACCTCCACTCACTGCAAGCTCTGCCTCCCGGGTTCACACCATTCTCCTGCCTCAGCTTCCTGAGTAGCTGGGACTACAGGCACCCACCACCACACCTGGCTAATTTTTTTTTTTTGTATTTTTAGTAGAGACGGGGTTTCACTGTGTTAGCCAGGATAGTCTCGATCTCCTGACCTCGTGATCCACCCGCCTTGGCCTCCCAAAGTGCTGGGATTACAGGCGTGAGCCACAGCACCCAGCCCAATTGTTTACTATTTTAAAAGAGTTTTAACCAACATTCTCGCACTTCTTTGTACACATGTGGGAAGGCTTCTTTAGGTTATACATCTAGGTGTAGAATTCCTGGGTTATAGGGCAGATATATACATCTTCTGCTTTATCAAATATTGTTAATTTGTCCTCCAAAGTGGTTGTAACATTGTATACTTTCACCAGAATTGTGGACAGTTCCTGGGTGCTAATTTGTAATGCAGTTACACAGATCAAGTTTCAAAAACTGTGTTGTACATTCTATTCTGTTCCCTTAATCTTACTGCCTGATCCTGTAACAATAACATAGTCTTATTAAATGGATATCTGCTAGGAAAAGTACCCCTACTTTGTCATTCTTCAATATTGTTTTTGCTGTTCATTCTCCATCTTTCATATACATTTCAATTAGTTTTTCAAGTTCCATATACAAACCCTATTAGGATTCTGACTGGAATTACAATGAATTTATAGATGAATTTGGGTGGAAATAACCTTTATTATATACTATCATGCCTTCCCATCCATAAACATGATAGTCTTTTCCATTTGCTAAGATTTCGTTCGTTCTTTCTTTTTTGGAGAAAGGATCTGGCTCTGTCACCCAGGCTAGAGTGCAGTGGTGTAATCTTGGCTCACAGCAACCTCTGCCTCCCAGGGTCAAGTGATCCTCCTACCTCAGCCTCCCAAGTAGCTGAGATTACAGGCACGTGCCACCACACTAGGCTAATTTTTGTATTTTTTGTAGAGATCGGGTTTTACCATGTTGCCCAAGTTGGTCTCAAACTCTTGACCTCAAGTGATCCGTACATCTCGGCCTCCCAAAAAGTGCTGGGATTATAGGCATGAGCCACCGTGCCTGGCCAAGATTTCTTTAATGCAGATTTCTTCAACATACATTTAAAAATTTCCTCTATAAATATCTCATGCTTTTTCACTAACATTTTTTTCTAGGCAAATTACAATTCCATTGCTATCATAAGTGGCATTTAAAAAATTTATTTTCAAATCATTCAAATTTAACTGTTACTTTTAAATGCAAATAAAGTGATTTTTAAAAATTGACCAACTTATTCGATACTGATTATTAGCTTATGCTGACTGACATACAAATTCTTGTGTGCTTGATTGTTACAAATTCTTTGTGTGCTTGACTGTTAAGAGATAAATCTTAAAATATTCCTGTGATTTATGGATTTTCCAATTTTACCATGTACTTTTGTCAAATTTTGCTCTATTATACTTTGAGATTACATTTTGTAGGAGTATGTACATTTATGACTGTTTTGTCTTCCTGGTGAGCTGTACTTTATCATTAGATAGTGACCTCTTTAATGTGTTTTATTTATTTATTTTTAGAAACAGGGTCTTGCTGTGTCACCCAGGCTGGAGTGCAATGGTGCAAACACAGCTCCCTGCAGCCTCAACCTCCTGGGCTTAAGCGATTCTTCCACCTCAGCCTCCCAAGTAGCAGGGACTACAGGCACATGCCACCACTCGCAGCTAATTTTTAAATTTTTTCTAGAGACAGGGTCTTGCTACGCGTGGCCCAGGCGGGTCTCAAATTCCTGGACTCAATGCTTTTAGCATCATTTAGACTTTTAGTATCAAAGTCTTGTGTGATTTCCATATAGTTTATATCAGTTTTATTTTGATAAAAGTTCATCTGACACATCTTTCATATTCTTTTATTTTTTAAAAATTAAAAAATTTGTTTTCCATCATCCCCCTTCTCTGTAGATATTCTTTTACTTTCAACATTTTTGTCATTATGTTTAGTGTCTCTTATACATAGCATATAGCTAGATTTTTAAAAATCTGATCTATGTATGATTATAATGAGCTTAAGCTCATTTCTTGTGATAATTAATGTATCTGAATTTATTACAACTATCTTATTGCCTACGTTTTTATTTAATTTCAATTTCCAAAGTTCTTTTTTTCTCCTTTTCAATCAACTGAGTTTTCTTCTATTTTCCCCCTCCACTGATCCAAAAGTTAAACATTCTACTTGGAGTCTTGGCAGATCCCTTTAAGATTTTAACTGCATAGCTGGCATAGCAAAGTCTAAAACTCATCTTTATTTCTAGTCCCAAAGAATACAATAACTACTCCCGAGTTACATAGGTGCTAGGTAATTCAGAAGTAGGATGCTCTTAGTGTTGAGACTTAACTAGCAGCACAGGCAAAACTAATTCAATACACTTTACAGTAACTTTTACCCCATTAGAAAATTCAACAGATAGACTCACTGCCTCACTTCTTGAGAAGCAAGAACAAATACAGGTTTTGGGTCCCTGTTCTGCTACTTACTGGCCACATGATCTTGAGCAAGCTCCCAATTCAAAAGTATTTGTTTCCTTAATTTTTAAATGGAAATACTAATTCTTAGTTCATAAAGTTAGCTGTGGGTATTACATGAGATAGTATATATAAATTCCTAAACATATTGTAGGCAGTAAAAAAAATAGTCTCCTTCTTTTCTCTGTTTAGAACATGAACTGTACAGAACTCCAAGATCTATAATAAGAATAGCTCCTTTAGATTTGTATTACATTTCATACATTCTACTAATAATACATTTTAACTTCTTAACAACCCCGACAGGTAGACAGAGATTACTGGCAGCTGGGACCATATAATCTAATATATGGGACCTTATAGTCTAATATATTCCTCTGGGGATAATTGCTGCTTCATAAGCTACTAAAAAAATCCTTCTGAACTAATTTCTGAGAAGGCATCTTCAGGCCATAAGTAAATGTGGACATCAATGGCTCAATATTTAACCTTAAGCAGCTGGGAGTTGGTGATATATGAGGGTTAGCATACCTTGTGGAAAATCCTGATGGGAGCCATCTCTGCTCCATTTAATGTCTTCAAAAGGAACATGGGCCAAGAAGATGCATTCAGCCGAAATCCTGCAGCAAGCATAATGGGCAACAGATTAAAAATGTTTCAAAAATGAATGGTGATATCAAGTTCTGCCTTTGCAATCCAGCTACTCCTATGCTGTGATAGTTACAGAATCACAGACTGTTAAGAAAGGACTTAAGGGTTAAAAAGAAGAAACACCTCATTAGACAGAAGAAGAAAATGAGGCACATAAGAGATAATGTAACTTGTCCAAGGTAATGCTATAAATAGTGGGACAGAGTCTCCAAACCAAGTTTCCTGACTACGACAAGTATTACAGAACACACAACATAATACCTAGAAAACTTCCCTTGAAAAATCCAAAAATGATGTGATAGGATTAACAACTACTTAGAGACGATCTGGACAGTAGAATATGAAAGGGGATCTAATAATCTCTTAAGAAGAAACCAAACATGTCAACTGATAAACCTAATGTATAAGTAAATAATTTTGGTTCCTCTCAGTATAAACTAACTCACTACTTCTCTATCACTTTCTGTCTTGCACACAAACACACACCGAGTACAAAATACGTTTTGAAGTTCATTGTTTACTTAAACAACTAAGGACCAAGGAATGACTTTGGAGAGGATCGTCCTATCCAAAAGTCTTCATTTTGCATTAAGAGTAAAAAGAAGCTCTTTAAGAGCATCAAATTCCCCTAGACCAAGAGTGTATATGTGTCTATGTCCCAAGTTAGGCCAGTTGTTTTCTGACATGAGATTGACATGGGAGAAGAAAATCTTTGTCTGAGAACATGCTCATAAGTATGTTCGCGGTTTGGGCACTGCTACATGGAGAACAGACCTGAGAATAAAGCCAAAGTAAGGCATGGAATGGAGAGACATAACAGTGTTTAAAACCCTGTACTCAGACACTCAACACCACATAGATCCTTGGACTTCTTGGTTATATAAGTTAATAATTCCTGCCTCCTCCTTTTTTTCCCTCTCTAACCTGGTTTGAGCTGGCTTTTTAACTGCTACTCTTCTTTTGACTGTGGTTTTAAAAAATTAAATCCCTCCAGAAATTCAGGCGTGGTGTGTATGTGGGAAAACAACTCTCCTTAGGTCAGGGAGGGCTGAAGCAAGCCAAACCCAGAGCAGCTTTGCCATGAGTGGTTTGGTACACCTACGGATAAGGTAAAGCAAGGCACTACTGTTTTAGAGAAGTGGTCTGTACACCTTGGTACAGGGAGGCCTGCACAATTAGAAAATTCAGGTTTCATGCCTATAGTTATCAATGAGTAGAGTGCCTAGCCATGTAATTCCCAATTCCATTTTTGAGGTAGGGGTTACTGAGGGGTTTCTATCTCATTTGAAGCTTAAGGAGCTAAAAAATCCTCTCAGCTCTGGAAATCATTACAATATTATCATAATAGTTAATATATATTGAATGCCTACCATGTAGTAAACATTTTATACATCATTTCTTACTCAGTATTTGAAATAATAACATGGGCAGGCACTATTATTATCCCTACTCTATAGATGATATAAAATGAAAACTCAGAGAAGCAGCTTGTCTAGGATCATGCTAGTAAATGGTGGAGACAGATTTCAATACATGGTGGTTGGATAAAAAAGTTTGTGGTTCTTTACTATATTTCACTACCAGCAGGATTCTTCAAGAGTACAGGGACAAAGCAGAATATTATGAACCCAAGAAATTGCTAAGATATCTTATTCCTCAACCCATTAGGTGATATGGGACTCTATCCCTTCAAATTCAAGTATATCCATAATTTATCTCAATATTCTTGGGCAATCATAGATAGTAGATAATTTTAACATTGAAAGGGACCTCAGAGGCCATGAAGTACAAAGATCTTACATTGCAGATGACAAAACTGCCAAGTCAAGAGGCTATGAAACCTGTTCATGGTCACACAAGCCAATCTTATAGTGTCAGGCTGGAACCCCAAGACTTCTTATTTGGTTCTCTTTTATTACACTATGTTTATTACACTATCTGTTTTATTACACTACGTTGCCTCCAAAAGTTAACGTTTATTGTACACATATCATGAGCCAGCCCCTTGTGCTAAGCATTTGCAGTGGATCACTACTACTATTCTGAATCAGATACTAGAAGAGTAGCACTGTTTCTGGTGCCAGACTGCCTGAGTTTAAATCCAGCTTTGCAGCTTACCAGGTATATAACTTTTGGAAAATTACAAAACCTCTCTCTAGCTTCAGTTTCCTCAACAACAGCGTGGGATAAGAATCAATGGGCTGTTCTAAGGATTAAATAAGCTAATACACACAAAGGACTTAAAACACTGCCTGGCATATAGGCAGGAGTTAAATACTGGCTATTATTTTTATAACTATAGATGAAAAAACTGAGGTTTAGAGAAATTAAGTAAAATATCCAAAGTGAGTAAGTTAGTAAATGGCAGAGTCAGGATATGAACCCAACTACTTTGTCTCCAGAGCTTTCATAACTAATCATCACATTAATATCTTCAAATATTTTATCACTCAGTCTTACCACACTGTCTCTAGGTAAGAAGAGTTGGAGTCATAAACTTATGAAAGAGAGAAAATAAGGAAGATAAAAACAATAATTTGAGGCTATATTCAAATTAGGCAATGACCTACGGTGTCTATAAGGAAAAGGACAGGTGGGTAAGAGGAAATCCTAACCTCTAAATGTAGAGTACCTCAGTGATCAGTCATTGCTTCTGTCTTTTTCTTGGCCCCCAGTTTCTTCCTGTTAAATGATGACTATCAATTTATATATCTAGCCCAACCTCTGCTCTGGGTTTCATGTTCACATATCCAACTACCTCAGTCTATAACTCTACTTGGATGTCTAAGAAATCATAAAATGAGTAAGTTTAAGACAGTACTCTTGATTCTACTATTCCCTCCAAACTTGTTCTTTCCTCCAGTTATCCCATCTCAGTTTAATAGGTGGCACCCCCTACTAAACCCAGGTGCTCAGACCAAAAAGACCAGAAGTCATCCTTGATTTTTCCCTTTCTATCACCCACCAAACCCAATTAATCAGCAAGTCTTGATGGCTTTCCTGCTTAATATATGCTAGATCAACCCACATTTCACCATCTCTACTGCTATATTACCCTATCTAAGCCAGAGTCAAACCTTGCCTAGACAACTGCAATAGCTTTCTAATTGGACCTCAGGCCTCTACTTTTGCAGCCAGAATAATATGTTTAGTTTTTAAAAATATAAATCAGGTCACATTACCTTATGCTTAAATTTCACAACACAAAACAGATCTAAACTCTTTATTATTCATGTTTACAAGGCTTACATGATCTGGACCTTGCTTACTCCTCATTATTCATCTCTTACCACTCCCTTGTACCCCCATTCATTGGTCTTTCTGTTCTCAAATATACCAAGCTGTTTCTCTCTGCCTCAAACACCTTTTAATCAACTCTTTACAGTTAGTTATTTGCTGAGATATCACTTCCTCAGAAAGGTGTTCCTTGACTACCCAAAATAGCCTCCTAAATCTATCCTGCTTCCTTTTTATTTACTCCTAGCCCTTATCACCATCTGAATTTTCTTTTTAAAAAGTTTAATGTGTATGCCTTCTCCAACTAGAAGATCCTTGATAGCTTTATTGAATTAAGGAAAAAACCCTCCATTTATTAAATGAGTGCCAAAAATTGGTGAATGCTTTATCATGTTATTCCACTTAATCCACAAAAACCATACAGGGCAGAATTTATTAATGATCTTGCAGGCGAGGCCCCTGAAACTCAACGTTAAAAGTCAAGGTAAAGCGACTTTTACCTTGTAAAAGTCCAAGGTAAAGTCACACAACTAAGGTAGTGAGTGGCTAAGTTAATGTTACAAAGTCAGATCTCTTTTAATTCCAAACACAGGCTGCAAGTGCTCTGTGTTTACCAAGGATTTATTTTTTAAAACTTCATAAAGAACCATTTCTAAAGTGCTTCTAAGTGCTCCCAAAACTATGGGACCACTGGATAAGCTAGGGTCCATCTATTTAAACTGGCTAACTGATGAAACTGGATTTAAGTGTGGAGCAGCAGGCCGGGCACAGTGGCTTTCACCTGTAATCCCAGCATTTTGGGAGACTGAGGCAGGAGGATCACTTCAGCCCAGAATTTAAAGACCAGCCTAGGCAACATAGTGAGACCTTGTTTTTACAAAAAATAGAAAAAATTAGCCAGGTGTGGTGGTGTGTGCTTGTATTCCCAGCTACGTGGGAGGCTCATGCAGGATTACTGCTGTAGCCTGGGGATGTCGAGGCTGCAGTGAGCTATGATTGTGCCACTGCATTCCAGCCTGAGTGACACAGCGAGACTCTGCCTCAATACATACATACATACATGTGGAGCAGCAGGACTATAATCTAATCATAGTCCATGCCCTCTCGTGGCAGGTAACAGAACAGCATTCACACCAGGAATTGATCAGTGATAGAAACATACAAAGGATTCCTTTCAAGTCACTGTATATACTACAGCATGTGACCAAATTTGCTAGGTAAGCAGTTTACACTGAGATCCTGACTCACTTGACCAGGGGCCTCAATAGAGGCTAACTTCTACTCTAGCTCAGTGACTCTCAAACTTGGACACTGGAATCCCCTGGGGAACATTAAAGAATACATCAGATCCACTCCCAGAAATTCTTATTTAACTGATCTGAAGTTAAGGCCTAGACCCTGAAAATTTTAAGAGCTCCCTAAGTGATTTTAACAGGTAGCCAAGTTTGAGAACTATGCTCTAGGCAGCTCTCTTTAGAAGAAACAATCACAGTATTAAGTAGAAGAATCAGTCAGTAATAACACGGAGCTGTGAGGAGAAGAGTGGCAGCTTTGAGATAACTGAGGAGAATCATTCTACTCTACTACATGCTTTGTCCTTGGAGGACTCCTCTGCAAGGGAGTAATATCCCTTATGAGAACAGAACACACATACGTATACATATACACCATACAAGATTTTAATGTAAAAGGATGCTCTTCTAGAGCAATGTTTTCCAAATAAAGACCAGTT